GGCCCCTGAGAGGCTTGCCAGAAGGGCCCCCAGAGCCTCTGCAGGGAAGATGGTGCTCAAAAGGACAGGTGCAGTCTCTGAAAGAGGTGCTTTCATTCCCATGCCAATTCCAACCCATCTTTCCTATCCTGGAAGCAAAAGGCTGAGCCTGAACCAGTCCACACTGGAGACGTGACAGAGGGATTCCAGACTCAGGGAGGCATACCACTGTCTGCAGGGCCTATGGGCACTGTACAGCAATGAGACCCTCTAGGTGCCTAGGCTGCTCAGCTCTAGGCTCCCAGACCAAGTCAGAGACACCTCATATTGAGAAGTTGGGGAGATGGCCCAGAGAGCAGATCCCATGAGGGTCACCCTGGCCCACTTCCAGCTGAACAGTGTGGGAGCAGCAACTGAAGTTCGCTGGGAATAGACCTGACACCTGAGAGGGAGGAAAAGGGTATTTCTGAGCTGGCAGCTACGGAGGGCAGAGGGTGAGGGAGCCGAGCTCCTCACAGCACTAGGAGAAATTGCACACTGCAGTAAATGAAGGGAGAGGGGACAGGGCAGGCTCTGTGTCAGGGGTTAGGAGTCACCAGGTGAAGGTGACTTCGGTGCAAAGAGGAGCCCCTCCCTTGGTGACAAGAGGGAGGCAGGGCAGGGGAGCCTTGATGGCAAGTGGGTGCTGGGATGGGGACGAGGAAGACAAGACTGTAGAGGAAGGCAGAGGGGCCCAGCAGCTTTGAAAGCTTTGAAAGCCTTGCTGAGGGTCATGACCACAAATCTACAACAGTCTCTCACCAGTGAAATGTTACCAGTGACCCTGGAGTGGATCGTCATGGGAAAAAGCTGTGGAGACGGATGTTACTGGGAAAAGGGGGGAAATCTGAACATTAACCATGAAGGAGGTAACAGTATCACACTAATGTTCCACATTCCAATCTTGATCACAGTGTTCTGGCTCTGTAAGACAGCATACCAAGGCAAACACTGAAGAACAGAGGTATGAGGAAGATGGGGGCTGTGATTCACCATCAAATCACCCAGGGCTCTGGAGAGAGCGTGAGACAGACAGACAGACAGAGACAGACAGAGAGACACAGGCAGCTGGACACTGTAAATAAGCTGATGGGTTCTTGTGAGAGCTAATTAAAAATTACCGCCAGGGTTCAAAATCTAGAAGGGGCATTCTACAGACCACTGATCAGATCTTTGTGAACCTAACTAGCATGATAAACGGGTTACAGGATTGGATTTGCTTGGACCGAAGGGCAGAGCCAAATGCAGTACATGAGCCATGGCTGGCTGGGAGGGGGGACAGACAAAATAAAACAACCAACTCCAATGACAAGTCATTTCTTAGGGTGTTAGAGCAAGTAAGGCATTGCCACCAGGTGGGGGTGGAGTTTGGTTTTTCCAAGGCCAGTGTAGAAATGTTTCCAGATGAAGGTCCAAGTATAACTGTCTCTAAAATGTGTGTGGATGAAGTGCGGGCATGTTGGCTGAGGGATCAGGAGATGGGTACACAGGTAATCTCAGTTCTTCGCACAATCATTAGAATACTGCCACACAGTGGTGATCTACCTGTGTCATACTCCCGTCTGCCCATGCTGTGGACACTCCACTGGAGGCTGACCATACCTGGAAAACTCATCATATCCAGCTGACCCTGGGCCATCCCTGCTACCTTTTCATAGTGCCACACACTCAGCACCACAGCAGTACTAGGCTGAAGCCAATCCCGCCACTGTCTCTAGGTTGTCTGTCTCGAGCTACAGCTGCAGCCTCCTACAGGCCCCCGGCAACAGGTGATGGCTATAAAATGTCTAACCGTGTCTCTCCATGCCTAAAACCTCCCCGGAGTTCTTTCCCTCAAGAAGACCCCCAGCCCACCATGCCCTAGGCTGCCAACCCTGTGCTTCTTTCTTCCAAGCTCAGGAGTGTGGCTGCAGATATTGCTCCTCAGCTATGACACGTGGTGCCCCCACCTGAAGATCCAAGGAGCTGCAGCTTCCCAGCTCAGTGTCTGGGCACGGCCAATACACCCTGACTACACACCAAATCCAAACAAGTTCCTCTGCAATCACACTGGCCTCCAGTAGGGCACCCAGCCAATGGCGGCAACTGACTGCCACTGTCTATTGCTGCTCATCTCCTCCTAAGCCAGCAGGAGCTGTCATCTCACAGTGACCCCAGAATCTGCAGTAGATGTCTATTAGACATGAAAAGATCTGCTGAGTGGAATGGGTACTAATATAACTTGGAAAACAACACTCAAGGGCTAGAGAGAAGGCTCAGCAATTAAGAGCTCTTATTGCTCTTCCAGGGGCCCTGGATTCAGTTCCCAGAACCCACACGGCAGCTAACACTCATCCTTAACTCCAGTTCCAGGGGATTTGAAGACTCTTCTGGCCCCTGCAGGCATCAGACACATACATGGTACGCTTACGTACATATAAGCAAAACTCATACACCTAAAAATAAAAATTTAAAAATCTCAAAAAAGGGGGAGGAGGGAAAAAAATCTCAAAAAACTCCTCCCCAAAACCCCAAAACATTTAAAATTCTCATTATTGGCCGGGCATGGTGGCACACGCCTGTAGTCCCAGCACTTGGGAGGCAGAGGCAGGTGGATCTCTGAGTTCAAGGCCAGCCTGGTCTATACAGTGAGTTCCAGGACAGCTGGGGCTACAGGGAGACCCTGTCTCAAAAAGACCAAAATGATAACAACAAAAAAACCCACAAAAACCTCTCATTAAATCTTTAAGAACAAGAACATGAAGCCAGGTGTGGTAGCACACACCTTTAGTCCCAGCATTCCAAAGGCAGGGGCTAGCCAGATCTCTGTGAGATTAAGGTCAACCTGGTCTACATAGCAAGTTCCAGGCCAGCTGGGGCTACAGGGAGACCATTTCAAAAAAACCAACCAACCAACCAAAAAATGCATATAGCGAGGTGTGGTGGAACACACCTTTAATCCTAGCACTCAGGAGGCAGATGCAGGCAGATCTCTGTGAATTCAAGTCCAGGCTGGTCTACTGGTCTATACGTATTGAGTTCCAGTCAGGGCTATATAGTGAGACTCTTGTCTCAAAAAGAAAAAGAAAAAAAAAAAAAGAGCATCAAGAGGGGAAAGGTTACTATGGAAACAATTAGGCCTGAGTATGTTCAAGCCAGTAACAGCCTGATAATGTGGGCCAGAAAAAAGCCTCTAAGTTCGGTGAGAAAAAAATATCAGGGCTGGAAAGATGGCTCAGAGGTTAAGAACACTGGGTTTGGTTCCCAGCACCCACGTGGTGGCCAACGACTCTGTAACTCCAGTTCAGGGGATCCAACACCCTCTTCTGGCTTCTGTGGGGCACTGGACACATGTGGTGCACTTACATACATGCAGGCAAAAGACTCATACACACAAAATATTTCTTTAAAATTTCAGAAATACCACCCACGTATGGTGGTACACACAGTTAATCCCAGGACTTAGGAGGCAAAGGCAGGCAGATCTCTGAGATGGAGGCCAGCATGGTCTAGTAAGTTCTAGGCCAGCCAGAGCTACAGGGAGACACTGTCTCAAAAAAAAAAAAAAAAGCATCATCTTTTA